GTCACCTCTTCGGTGCTACGAGGGCGGAGGTCCCCCCGACCTCCTTCTCTTCCCTTTTTCTTTTTCGATGTGTCCTCAGGGGGGCGACATCCTCCTCCGGGAACTCGGGAACCTCGAACTCAGCCACATTGTAGCGGTGCTTAAGCTCACGCCACAAGTTCTTTCCCATAATGCCTGCAGGCAAGGAACAAAAGCACATCAGTAAAAGGCAACTACACAAGCCCTAGCAATTTATTAAAACGTGTAAAACTCACTCTCTAGGCCCCTCTCCCTATAAGGCGAATTTGCAAGCGACAGAACGAGCTTGCAATCCAGTCGAAAAGGGAGCGTGGCAAGATTTTTAATGGCGTCCGCCTCCGTGGCTATCGCCTTCTGATCCCCTAAACCATGAAACCTAGACGGTTTGGGACACCAATAGAACGGAAACCTCGGCAAACTGCCGAAGTAGAACACCTCATCTTCCAAAGGGTCAACACCCACGATGGCGACCCGGAAAAACTCCTGCTTGAAATTTTTATACGATTGGGAGTAGGGGGTAAACAAACCCCCATCCCTACTCCCGCTCAAAGACAAAATGCCGTAAGGCGGAGTGCCCATCTTCAATTGATAAAAATGAAGAAAGACCCGAAGAGACACCTCTATACCTAGAACTGTACACAGGACCTGAAAAGCCCTCAAAAAGCCCCAACTATTGGGATGCAATTGGCAAGGAGCCGCGTTGATGAAATTCAAAAAATCGCACTCAAACTGAGTAAAGGGAAGACAGACACCCAAATCCCTAAAAAAGCATTGATATACATAGAAATGGGGGGATCAGTAGACCTCCCCATATACACGCCCTCATCGGCCTGACAGGGCTCAAGCCGAATCATGTGGGAGATGGAGGAATCACAAACCCTATGCGCTCTCCGAAATGCATTCACTTCGAGGAAATAGCGAAAAATGCTCTGAGCCTCAGCCACCTCGCGTTTGACTCAGTCATAGCCAGGAACGCCTGGCTCCGGGCCCCTAGGCGGCGGCGGGTCCTTCTTCTCAACAGAGACCCTTCCGGCAGCCACCACCTTGCCACGCGCCTTGCCCCCGGCAGACGAAGAGGGTCCGGTACCACTTCCACCAGCCATGAAAAGAGAGATGAAACAAATAAAAAAGAAGTACCTGGTACTACTCCTCAGAAAGCAACCCTAACAAAGAAGGGGCTACCGGAAACGACGACGGAAGCGCAAAAGAAAAAGGAGACGAAAGGAAACAAGAAAGCAAGAAAAGCTCCCGTACTCGAGAAGTCAGAAGGAAGACAAAAAGTGAAAACGAAGAGGCGCGAGTGGAAGAAGAGAAAAAACTCTCCCCCAAAATTCAAAACCGACGCGACACGTGTCGGCTGGAAAGCACAACTGACGACACATTTATTGCAAAACCATCATTGCACAACCGTCACTTCCCTTAACGCGTCGCTCGAACGCCCTTGGGAAATGAACAGTTGTGACACGTGGCAAACCTTCAGACAATGCATAGCGAAAAGCCGCTCCCCTCCAATGAGCCCGGTCTTAACTCCTCGACCTACGACTTTCGGAGCTCGGGGAGCTAGTGTACTAACCGTACTTCGCACCCGGGCTCCTAGCCCGGATTAGTAATGCAAATAGGTGACCTCGGGCACGCGTTGCACGATGTCAGCCCGGTACTTGAGCAAATCATACCTGTTTCCGAGGATCTCGTCTCGGACCAAATCCGCCCTTCAATTATATCATATCATATCATGATATATCTAATCTCAGACCCAAGGCCCAAGGCAACCCCAAAACCGCTTCAAGGTACGTGCGTTATATATGAGACTATTATTCATGCAAACCCTAACTTTGGCATCAGAGTCTCTTTTGCAGGTACCTCCCCCATCTTGGAGCACCAATACACCAAGCAAAGGAGGCTCACCGATCTTACTGGACGGGTCACCTCTACGACCAAATTCCGGTAAGAACACCTATATAATACTTTATCAATTTTATTTTAACAAAAACATAAATCATAAATTCAAATAAATAAAAAAACCACACACACTATATATATATATATAAAAAGAACATCTAACTATTGTAAGAGTTTTAAAGATACAATGTCTTTAATGTTTGAAATATAAAGGTTTTTTTTTTTTTGTTTTGATTCGCTGAATTATTTTTTCCTGTATAGATCCCTATATTATTTTTATTCGTTTCATTTTAGCTTATGATGTTACCATTTCAATAATTATAATATTATAATTTTTTAATATAAATATCTCATATATTGGGAGATTTTATTTAGTTCATATTCTTTTTTAGTCTTATCTTTTACTTATTTTTTTTTAGTTCTTATAATTTTAAATAGAATAAATATCTCATATATTGGGAGATTTTATTTAGTTCATATTCTTTTTTAGTCTTATCTTTTACTTATTTTATTTTTTTAGTTCTTATAATTTTAAATAGACATTTTTAGTTTTTAAATTTATCTTTTATAATTATTTTTAGTTCTTGTAATTTAAGATAAGTATTTTTAATCTTTATGTTTGTAATTTTATTAAAAAAAAAATTTAGTATATATCATTAATTTTTTTTATAATGTTGTCTCTCGACATTTTGTGTCCCTTTCGTACTCTCACCTATTATACCCATTATTAAAACACATTTTTTATACTCACAAAATTAAAGACTTCTAAAACATTAACACAAAATATACTATATTACAAAAAAATTTAACAAAATGGACTAAATCACTAATACAAAAAAGATATTTTACGTCAAAAAAAAGTCTGACATCAATGCGGGAGACGTAAATTTACGTCAGTTGTTTTAACTGACGTAAAATTACATTAGACATCCTCCATGTCCGACATAAAATAGTTGACAGACAAAAAAAATCTCAATCCGTGAACACGTCCAAAAAATACCCAAATGCTTCAATCCAATTGGAGAGATAGGTTCAGAATCAAAAATGGGTTTTGTCACTGTTGTTATCGCCGCTCACCATGACCGAAAAACACTCAAAAGTCTCATACCACCGTTGCCAGAAATCACTAGAGAAAAACCCTAACAATGTATCATCCAATCCAATCCAATCGCTGCCACCAAAACAATGTAAAACAATGTATTTGCACTAACCTTAAATCCCAAAAGCTTCGAGTAGCCTTAAGTGCTAACCTAAGCAAGACGCGCACCAAAAGCTTCAATCCAATCGGATAAAACAATCTGCAATGACGAATGGATGTCGCCGCCACCGTCGTCATCATTCATCATGACCGGAAACACTCAGGTTGCGTACAAACTCTTCGTTCACCTTGACAAATGGATGTCGCTTGAACTTTCTGCACTTAAAACACCCTCGTGCGCGACGAAATGAATCAGGGGAAGGGGATATAACAAGGTTTTTACGTCGAACACATGAGGTCCGACGTAAAATTTGAAATCTACGTCGGGTCTCCTTGTAGTCCGACGTAGATTAGACTTTTTATGTTGGACCTCGTGGTATCCGACGTAAAAAACTTGGATATAATTTCAAAAATAGCACCGCATTTTTTTTATGTCTAATTTTTCATTTTTCGACCAGAATACAATGACGTAAAAACCATATATTTGTACTAGTGAATGGATTAAAAAAACTGTAAATGTAGAAACTAAAAAATCTATTTTAAAATATAGAGACTTAAAAGATTAAAAAAAGATATAAAGATTAAAAAATTATTTTAAATTATAAATATAAAAAGATAAAGTTAATAAAATTAGAGAGAATAAAAATATATTTTAAACTTTTATTTAAATCAATATTATTCATAAAAAAATCTATTTTAAATTATAAAGACAAAAAGATAAAGTTAATAAAATTATAGAAAATAAAAATATATTTTAAATTTTTCTTTAAATCAATACTATTGGGCATGGAAAAAACTATACTTGTCAATTTAAACTAATTTTAATTAAAATTATGTCATCATAATAAGAATTAATATTATATAAGATGAAATAAAAAAAATATGACCTAAAACAAGAAAGACATTTAAAAGTAAGTAAACCAAAATAATTCTATATATAAATGCATAGAATCTACATAGAGTTATGTTCCTATACGTACTTTGCAATTGCAAAATAATAGTGGAATTGAGAATCCATCCTTTGGATATCATCATATACCTCCTTTCTAAATCAATATCAGAACCCAAATTCATAAGATGTAATGTCATATAAAATGATAAACTATGATGTTACCGCTATAAAATTATAAACTTCTAATATATATCTATGATATTGGATGATTTTTATTTTAAATCAATATTATTCTTAAAACATCAGACTTTTTTTAATTTCTATTGTATCATCAAAAATAAGAACAAAGTTTATATAAAATTGAATAAAAAATATATATGAACTAAAACGAGAAAGATATTTAAGAGAAACAAAACCAAAGTAATCCTATAAAAAAAAACTATAATGTTATATATTTAAATTATGACCCGAAGCAATTGCAACAGGCGCTGTGCAAAGTGCAAAGTCAAAAGATATATATTTATTAGTGATGGTTCCAATTGAGACCCAATCCCTCAAAACATTTCCATATAGCAACGGCTTTGGATGACCATGTTTAATCTTACAACAGTAACAAGAAACCAATAGAAGATGATTTACGAAAACAATAAACATTTATAAAACATTAAACTATTATTGTTAAATCAAGTCTGAAAAATTGAGACAAATTCTTAATTGAACTTTGATACAGTTAAGGAGCTTCCCATTATAAAATAATGTTAGGAATGGGTACAAAGTGAAGGTAATATATCAAAACACTTGCCTTTTCATTTTCTTGCGGAACATCTGCTTAATTAGTCTACTCTTTGATCAAGTAGGCATTAGTCGTTAAGGAATGGTTCATCATCAAATAAAGAATTCATGAGGGAAAAGATGAACTGCAAACCAATTCAATGCTTCGTCATTATAAATAGCAAGCTTCACAAGAATCAAAATTCAATTCTCACAAGCGATTACATATATACAGCACAATCAATCATTCAAGACTATTAGGAAAATATGAAGGTTGCTTACTTCATTGTTGCCATCTTGGCTTTGACATCCTCCGTTGTCTCAGCCTATGACCCAAGTCCTCTGCAAGATTTTTGCGTGGCAGTGAAAGAAACTGACGGTGGTATGTACAAATTAACATTCCTTACAACTCAAATTCTAAGAGCTTGTTAATTTCAATATATATATATATTATAATTTACTTTTTTAATTAAAACTCTTGCTTGTTAATATGCAGTGTTTGTGAATGGAAAGTTCTGCAAAGATCCCAAACTTGTGAAAGCTGAAGATTTCTTCCAACACGTTGAACCTGGAAAAACTGACAATCCATTGGGTTCACACGTGACTCCTGTATTTGTTGATCAACTTCCAGGGCTAAACACACTTGGCATATCTTTGGCTCGCATAGATTTTGCACCAAAGGGTTTAAACCCTCCTCACACTCACCCTCGTGGCACAGAAATTCTTATAGTCCTTGAGGGAACTCTCTACGTTGGATTTGTGTCATCCAATCAAGATGGAAATCGTCTCTTTACTAAAGTGCTAAATAAGGGCGATGTGTTTGTGTTCCCAATTGGTCTCGTTCATTTTCAATTGAATGTGGGGTATGGAAATGCAGTTGCCATTGCTGCTCTTAGCAGTCAAAATCCAGGAACTATCACTATCGCAAATGCTTTGTTTAAAGCTACTCCACCTATTTCTACAGAGGTTTTAACCAAAGCTTTCCAGGTGGACAAGAAGACAATTGAGTATCTTCTAAAGCAATCTTGGTATGACAACAACAACTAATTTCGAAGTGTCAATTATTTTGATTGGATAAGTGTCTTCAGTGTGTTTTTACCATCTCCAACTAATTATTATTGTAATAACTAATAAGTATATTGTTATATATGAGTTATATTGATATATTCTTCCTCTCTAGCGGATATTTTGGTTTAATAAATTGATCGATATATTGATTTAACATAAGAAATTCTTTGAGGTACTTGTTCAATTTAACTTTTCTAGGTTGTGGGTGTTCTTATTTACGTTGATTTACTAAAGAAACCACGATAATACTCCATGGCCAAATTCAATATCTACTTAGTAGGATTCAAGGATTTTTAACAAATTTTTGTCTTGCAAAAAGATGATTCCTTATCAGCATGATTTGAAACAAATAATAATCACTAATTCTTTTGTGATCTTAAGTCTTTGATTTTTAATCTTTCAAATATTTTTGATAAAAAATAATCAATTTTTTTTATTGTTGATAATCTTGTTTGTGATTTTGTGTTTTGTTTTTGAAAATTGATAGAAACGAGTAATTTAATGAGAAAATGACATGAAAAATACTGAAATTGGTTGATACAAGTGATAACAACTTATATCCCTTGATCAAATTGTCCTAAGTTTGAATCCCGACCTTGGGTTTTGAATAAAGTATATTGGAAAGGGAATACTCATTTTGTGTATAATCATGAATCTCGATTTAGATCACTACTTCTGATAACGGATACGTCGTACCAATATCATGGTTAAAAAAACAAAAAAAATAACATGGAGCATTGAACAAGATTTAGTGCTATGTTATTAATTAATTAAAATATATAACCAAGTTTATGTCAAGTCAATAACGTCTATCTCCAAAACCAAAAGGTCATCCCTATTTTATCAATCCTCCAACTAAGAATTATCAATTTTCTTAAGTTGTGGTCCTTACTCGATTCTTCCAACGGCTACGTGTCCTAATATATCGCATTTTCTTCCAAGGCATTTATAGGGCTAGTGATTAGTGCACCCAAGTTTAACTGATTCATTGTCGAGTTCGATTCATCACATCTTAAAACCTCTAGGGTCTTTCCAAAAGATTGATCTAGATCTTATATAACCTTTGGATTAAAGAACTCCCCATGTCCTCTGTCTACCAACATGGTGATAGTCTCCAAAGTTTGTTTCATTTTCTTGATGACCTTGTTTGTCGAAGCCTCCTCTTCAAGGTTCAAATTAGACCACTTCTTGGAGTCTTCGATAATAGTTCATTTCTTTTATGGCTTATATGATCCACCTTAGCATATGTGGATGGTTTTGATCGTTTTGCTAATATGAACTTCCTCATTATGAACGGTGATACAAATAGTATTTATCATGTTTTCCACGTGGAATTTAACAACCCGTTTCTTTTGTTAAGGTAAGAGATCATAGGTGACCTTCAAGCCGACTTTTGCTACTTGAATATGTTGTCTTAAGTCCTCAAATTATTAGTAGTCCTCCATGTTTGTCTTAGCTTGCCGCATGGCGATTAACTCTTGGCCAATGATTCTTTTTGGTTTAGGTATCACATCAATAAATGTTACATATAGTAAAATATAAAAAGTATCACTATAGATATAAAATATATAAGCATAAATTTATTTGACATATAACTACACAAAATTTTAGTATTAATTTTGAATGAGATTCAACAACATATATTATGTGGCACTATAGTTTATACCTACACTTTTTATTAATATATCAACATATATTGTATCTATAATAGGTAAAAGTAATTTTTAGTGAGAAGTATTATATCATTATAGTTTGTATTACTATATGACAATTTTTTTGTGGTATAAATCTTGTGGTCGATGGAAGCATTGTGTGGGACCCAAATCCCCCTTTTATCCAGCATTTGTATTTGGTAAATACTAATGTTTTTTTGACTATTTTGAGGATTTTTCGACTTTGCCACCTTTTTTCTTCACACATATTTTGCTTTGCCTTTAGACGTGATCAAAACCATGTTAATGTCCAATTTGGGGAAAGGATCATCATCCCCAGCCATGCGAATAGTACCTTTTTCAACTAGCTTGAAGCAACCTTGTTTCAAAAATCCTTATGTATAGCTTTTCAAAATAGTATGCAATTTGTTGTAAGATGGCTATATGAGTTGTGCCACTTACAATAATTTTTACCCATCAATTCTTTTGTTGATGGCATTTAATGGTCTTTCTTTATCCAAATTTTGGTGATCTTTTAACAAATGATCAAATATTTGTTCAGCCTTCGTAATGTGAAAATCGTATTTGGCTTTTTTATCAGTTGATACTCTTGTGCCACTAGCCCTTATTTAAGTTAGGGATACATGTTGTTGATTATCATTAAAACACATTCATTTCTAGTAGTTGTATTGAGGGATGACTTCCCATTTTTCAAAACCTCAAAATGAAATTCCCAACCAATTCATCCACCATTTGTATGGTGCTCATTAAGTCGATAGTCATGACTTTTAATTATGGCTGATAAAATCAATCATGAACACAATATTCACATATTGGCAAGATTTTACACTAAATTGGGGGTAGATTCAGGTATCATGTAAAACTTACTCCTATAAGTAACAAAGGAAATAGTTGGAGTTTATTTTTGGCTAGCTTTTTTTCATTGTTCAATGCAATGGCCTACACTTTCTATAGTGGACTTGCCATCCTCTCCTAAAAAGGTGGCAAAACCTAAGGTATTGAATTCTTTTGCAAGCCATATTATCCTATCCACCCACTTTAGGTACAGTTTCTTGTACATCATCCTCTCTAAAGGTTTGAGTTCGAACTAAATCATTTCCTCACAGTTTCGGCTATGATCTTGATATCAATAAAAGATGTTGACATCACCTTTGTAGGTGGATAGCCAAATTAGCCTATTGTACTTTGTCCAACACATAACTCATTATAGATCCATTCCCCATTTCTTTTTTGTAACCTCTTTCAACTTTTTGATAAGGAGGCAAACCATTATGTTCAAAAGCATTTGTTCGGCTATGATCTTGATATCAATAAATATGCGATTTTCTTTTGACTTATACAAACCAATCAAAGAGGTAGATTAGGTCAAAGACACTTTATAAATAGATAGGTTAAATTATTCATATTATACACATATTTCTAAGAGAGAATCAAAAAGAGGTCTCTAAGGATTTTTTTGTGGGAGGCACAAAACCCTAACTCTATCCACCCATGGCTAGCACCAAAGTCATGCCCTCTATGTTGCTCATGTGAATTTCGTAGAATGACCATACCCTTTGGTGCTTAGTGATGGCATTTTTCCTTCAACCACATAGAGGAATCTTCAAAATCGATATAAATCATGCTACAAAGAAAAAATTTTAACCGTTAGCATGATTCTAGGCAATGTGTGATCCATGGAAATGAGGTTTTTCACTCATGGTTTCTTCTTTTAATTAAATTTTATTTTGAAAATTACCTTGAAATCCCAACAATTTCATGCTATGAAACCAATTAGGCAAAATCAAATTTGGCAAGTTTAAAGGTTTCCATATAACCTAATGAAGCAACCCAAACTTTTGGTACTCAGAGATGTTGTCTTTTGATCCAACTGTGTGAAGCATAGCTTGTTTATAATCTACTAGTAGATCTTAGCTTCCTTGGTGAGTTTGGCATAGGTTAGCTCCCTCTTAGAATTGGCACCCATCAAGGCTTCATAGATCGTGTCCTAACCATCATAGAGGCCTAATCATGGTCGTATATGTTCTCGACCCTTTCATAACCAATCGTCATAGCCATAATAATGCTATGGTGTACTATGTTGCTATGATTAATGAATCTTATTGTAGAAAGTTGAAATAAAGTATGTTAAGATGATTTATGATGAATTGGATAACTTTCTGAGCATTGTATAATTTTTGTTGAATAAGTAAAGATGTTGTGTTAAGCTGAGTTGTGCTAAAATGTTGCATGATGAATGTTTTTGAGTTGTATTGTTATACTTAGGACTAGAGAAGAAAGTATTATTTTTTTTAAAGTTAAAATATTCCATTATGTGGATGTGTTGTGATGCTCTAAAAAATCTAATGCTAAAACACCTTTCTTGAGTAAGTTGCCTCTTGAAGTGGAGTTTCGAGTATCCTCTAGATCCTTAGATTATGTAGTATGGGAGCAAGGTTAAGCCATACTACTAATGAAGTGACCAATTGAGTAAGGTGTGAAGTCGAGGGCTAAAAATCCTTAATTGATTATTGTAAAGGTGTTCAGTATTTGGAGGGTAGTCCATGGGTTAATTCCAATGTTGGCCTTTGCTTGGACTTTATAAAGGAATGTGAAATTTCAACGTATGTGTCATTAGAACTTATTTCAAATAAATCATTCATTCATCATATAGTACAAAATGTGTTTGTCCAACATATGAACAAATCAGGACACATGATAATCATTCTAATGTATTTATTTTCTATGATTTGAATGTTTTATGATGATTATTGAGTTTAATCAAGCTAAATTTTGTCTCTTTAAAAAATCCTTCATTACTGAGCATTGTACACTTATCAGAAAAAGCAAAACCCCACAAGATTCCCTCTTCTCTCTCTCCTCGACGTCGACAAGCACTAAACTCATTATATCAACCTAAATACTCAATGTTCCACACTTCACCTAAAAACCTCTCAACCTTTCCTCACACATAAATTTTATCTTTCTGTTCTCACCCTCAAAGTCTCAACTTCTTACAAAACCCTATAACTCAAACTCTCGACAATGGTGTTTGACCAAGAATATCAGTTGGCACACTAGCAACATTCATGGCACACCGAGAATGAGGGGAACTTATACATAGAGTATCACTTCAACATCACGTACATAGACTGGATCAACATTCCTACCCTAGCAAACATCAACATGTGTGGAATTTTAGGTAACTTCAACCTAAATGAGGTTATCTACCTAAAATTGATACGAAAGTTCTACATGAAAGTTGTCTTCCATAAAATGCGCATCATAAGGCATGTTCTGGGTGTGGATGTCTAGGTAGACATTGCAATTGTGTCTATGGAAATTGGATGTAAAAGGGTTGAGAACATATATGACTAAGAT